AGGAGGAGGAGGAGGAGGAGGAGGAGGAGGAGGAAGGGGGGAGAAGCTGGGACAGGCGAAGAATTCATTGGCCCTAGACAGCCACAGGTAGGATTTCAGGCATGATCGGATCCAGCTTATTTAGTGAGGTTATCAGTCTCTACTCTGCTCCCCTCTGCATTGGTAAAAGTGTTGCCAGGCTTGCATCCTACCAGCCAACAAGCCCTGTAGGGAAACATTGTCTCTTTCCAGATAGCCACAGGCCAAGGGATAAGATCAGGTGCTCTTTTCAGAACTAACAGCCAACATAAGTATCCAAACCTGGTCATGCATACATCCCAACCAACAGGGTTGTGTAGAAACCGGGAACTGAGATGAAAGGGAGAGCCCTTCCAAAAGAAGTCAGGGGCCATGATTAACATCAGGAGGGAGGTGCTGGGCCTACCCCTGGGGTCTCCTGCAGGACCTTGTCCCTTCCTTACACACTTTGCCCCTCTCACAACTGCCCCAAATATCTATCCTATGCATGAGTGGGGCACAGCTGAACACTTCCTAGGCATCAAGCATTTTTATCCACACTTGTCGAATCACCTACAAGAAAGTCACGGGCATGGCCACCCCTCGCTACAAGAGAACAGTTTGAGGTCCAGAGAAGCAATTGCCCAAGGTCACAGGCTGACAGGGAGCAGAGCCAGGGTTACTCACAAATACTGATGATACAGCTATGCTTCAGCCCTCTCCTGTCACACTGTATGAGACCCTTCAAGGCCCTATACTATAGCAGTCCCACCCAAACCTAAGCCCAGGCCCAAGCCCGGCACCACAGGGCACTGTGTAAAGCTGTACTCAGGAAATCCAGGTTGGTTGGGCTTAAGTCCAAGCAGGTGAGCTGGAAGACGAAGGGGGTTGGGGGCAGGGCCATCCTGAAACTATTTGCCAAGGATGGACCCCCATGCTGCATGCAGATGCATATCTGGGCAACCCCGGTCTGGGTCTGGGCAGTTGGTTTTGGCCTGTCTGAGAGAGCCCACCAAGCAGAGGCAGTTGAAGGGGTGCTCCCCTCCAGGATCTCCAGCCCCAGCGTGAATGCTGTGTGTCAGGAAGTCTGGGAGGAACATGATAGATCCCTGGAGAGGAGGATGCTTTCTTCCTGCCCCCTCTTCAGGTTAGTCCCAACTCTTAGAGTTTACTGGACTGTAGGTGATTTGAGCAGAATGTTCTAGAAACCAAGCCAGAGTGATGTGGGAATTGCATATGTGATTTTCATATGTGGGTGCCAATGGGGAGCAGGCCCTCAGCATGCCATTTTTGTACCTGTGGCCCTGTCACGCATACTGAGGGAAGTCTGTCCCTCCCCGTGCTGGACACCCAGCCCGTGGTACAAGGAGGAAACTGGCTCAGAGAAGGGAAGTAGCTTGTCCAAGGTCAGCCAGCTCCAGATAGCTGTGTGTACCTATCCCTTATCTCAACTTGGCTGTCATCCTGCCCCTTCTCTTTCTGCCTCTACCCCTTGGTCCTTCCTCCCTAGCACACCCCACTATCGGTAACTGTTGTATTAATTTGCTTATGTCTCCACCCCCATGCCCTCTCTGTCTCCACCCCTTCCTATCACAACCCATTGATAATTTCTGCTAATAATTTTCACCCCTGCCCAGACTTGATTCCTATGGGTTTCTGACTCTTGCCTACCAGGTAGCAAGTGTCTAGCCCATGTTTATGGGTCCCGAGTCCTCCATAGTGGATTATCAGGGGAGCCATACTCCTTAGCAGACTGGACAGTAGCAAATGCCCCTCACTGCTCTGGATCTTGTCCCTAAGCCCCTCTTCTTCTGCCCCCTGGGACTTGGCCACCCCAGCCCTAGTAAAAGTGTCCCCTGGCCTGCTGGTGCATCTGAGAGAGAAAAAAGCTGGTCTGAGCCTGGCAGGGAGGAGGAGGGCTGCAGGGCCTCTGAGCTGGCAGACAAAGGGCGTGTGTTCTCAGCCAGCACACTTCCTGGGTTTCCATTGCAGGAAGTTTGGCACCTGCCTGTTGGTGACACTGATACCTGAGCTGGTATAGGAGACTCTTAGCCAGGACAGTCCCCTCCATTCGGAGCAGCAGCAGGAGGTGGAACAGAGGCCAGGGGTGCTGGGTGGCCGGTGAGTGGTGGCAGCTGGACCCCAGCACTGCCCTGTGATTGTTTCAGGTGCAGAGCGGATGTGGAGAGGCTGTATCCCAGACTGAGTCCCTGTGACCTTGGGCAAGGCCTCAAGTCAGTCCTTTGGCACCTCAGTGTCCTACTGGGCAGAACAGCGGGGTAGACTGGGGAATGTGGTGAAGGTGTAGGGAAGGGGCTGGTTTCATTTTGACTTGAGGTTCTGGGGTTCTGCAGCTGAAAGGGCCCCATCCCCATCTTTGCCTTAGTGACTTCCTCCCTAGCAGATTGTCAGTCTTGCTGTAGAGTGGAGTCCCCTTTTGCCAGGCTGGGGATGCACACAGGGGGTCAAGGGCCAGGAAGCTTCAGTGCTTGGTTCCTATCTGGGAAGGGTGGTGATGCTTCAGTCTCTGAGACCAATGGACCCGTGTGCCTGAGGGGCACCTTCTGAGGGGTCTAGCTTGAATCTGGCCCCTTGTCCTTTGCATGGGGCCTGAGTGTCTCTCTCCTGCCTCAGTGTCTGGTCTGTGAAGCAGGACCTCTCAGCCCTGGAGTGCAGAGCCTGGGAGGGTTGAAGGAAAGGCTCAAAATGGGGGTGGGGTGGAAGCCTCTAGAAAGGGCAGCTACTGCAGTGACTGTAACTCCACACTGGCTGTGGGAATTAAATGGATGAGCAGAGTGGCAAAGGGAGGGGTGGTGATCCTGGATGAGGAACTCAGTGGAGAGGAGGATGGGGCTGAACCCAGACACCGCCTTCTGACTTCTCTGGGTGTGCTATACTATTCAGCAGCTGTCCCATACTATTTGGTGGCTGTCCCAGGACCACCCTGCTGAAGGTGCTGGATCCTGCTTAGCTGCACCCCAGACAGTGCTGGGTCCAGCTCTCCCCCGGCCACCACCATTGTGACTTTAATCAAAAGAACAATCTGTTTGCCTCAGAATCAGACCCAGATTCCTTTTCCCAGCAATGCTCTGAGGCCTCAGGGGACCTGGGCGGCCCATCCCAGCCCCAACCCAGGCCCTAGGGCCCCAAGCTCTGCTGTATCCACCCCTCCTCTCACAAACTGTGCATATTCCAGTTTAGAGAAGGTGCATGGGAGGTGGAGGCAGGCTATCAGTGCTGGGGCCAGGCAGCAAACAGGTGACCTGATTGTCTACCCCAGGCCTCCTATAGGGGCCTCCTCATACCACAGGAGGCTGGGAGTCCAGGCAGGCAGTGACAGTCAGCTCATGACAGCAGATCCAGGTGACTTGCTCCCCTGGGGTCTCTGAGGACCCCTTCCCAGGGCCATTCCTTAAAAAAGCCCCAAGCCCAGCCTATGTTGACCCCAGACTTTCTTAGCATTATGGCTCCAAAATCCAGGCCAGGTTGCAGAGGTGAGCAGTGGTGACCCATTCAAGGATGAAAGTCCCTGAGGCTCAGGGAGATGGGGTGACAGCCGTGAGGTCACGCATATATATAGATGATATCGATATAGATGAGATAGATACAGATATATAGCCAATGGTCAGAGAAGGCAGGTCTGCCTAACCCAGGACCCTGAATGATCCCAGGGCCAACCTGGGTGCACGCACCATCACCCCTTCCACCAGGCGTGTCAGCCGACCTAGGTGACCTAAGGAAGGGTGGCTCAGATCAGTCAGGGTACACAAAGGCGAGGGAGGGGGTGTGTGGGGGGGGGTGAGGACTGGAGGGAACAAAGGGAGGAGGAGGGGGCGCGGCCGCAGGTTGGGGGGCAGGTAGGGGCTGCGTCTGTGAGCCCGCGCCCCCTCCCCGAGCGTCACCTTTTATGGTAAGGCGCGCGGGGCGGCGGGGCGGAGGGAGAGAGGGGCGGGAGCGAGGGCGGAGGAGGCTGCTCCGGAGCGCCGGGCAGAGGCCGCCGGGTGCGCCGCAGGTAAGAGGGTGCGGCGGTCGGGGGTGGTTTTAGGGGGGGTCCTGGTCCCCGGCCGACCCCAGCCCGGCGCTGCTGGGGGGCCTGGGCGGGGCATTGCTGTCCCAGTGTCCCCGCACCCTTGGATCTCAGCGCTTCGGGGACTCGGTCCGGACGGTGCAGAGCGGAGACGGCGGGGGGTCGTGTTCTGCTCGGCTCCAGGGTGCCGAGGGCCGAGCGAGCAGGGCCGGAGCTCCCGCACAAAGAGGACAGCGTCCCGCACATGGATCGAATTAAAGTCCCCGGCAGTGACCCGGCCAGCTGCCCTACTCGGCTTTCTGCGCCAGGGCGCCGGGTCTCTCCAGCTCCTGGGATTCCCGGGATTCCCAGCTCGGGGTAGGAGAGGTTGGAAAGAGGGCCCTGGGGTCCCCTCGCCTGGCTTGGCAGAGTGTGGGAGTGGGCGATGCCCCCCTGCAGCCCAGACCTGAGGTCCGAGGGGAGAGGTTGGGCAGCGCCGGGATTCCTGCTCTCCAGGGTGGGGACCCCTCGGGGGCTGAATGGCCAGTTGCGTTCTCTGCCCTTACCAAGCGCCAAGCTGTTGAGCGCTTGCTTCTGAGCCCTCTAAGCCACCCTCCAGGTCAGAGTCCAACTCCTTTGATGAATAAAACCAGGCCCAGAGAGGTTAGGCGACCCTTTTAGGTTCACCCAGTAGGAAAGAGGTGTGGCCCGGTGAAAACTCATCTCTTTTCCTAGGGTAGAGAGAGGCCTAGGGACGCCCCCCCGCCCCCCACTTTGAGGCTGCAAAGTGCCTTGTGGGAGCAAGGGTGGTCATAAATTCTCCCACCTCCAGCAAAGTTTCATTCTGGCTCCAAGTTAGATTGCTTTGTGGGGCAGTGTAAAAGAACAAATCTTAGATGTGGTTGCAGAAGTGGTTTTTGGAGGTGTGGGCAAAGATTTAGGAATAAGGGGGCTCCTCCCAGCAGCCAGAACAATCCCTCCCTCGGGCTGCGTCCTAAAGCCTGCCCTGGGTTGGGTGGCTGGCTGGCTGGCCGGCTCTCGGGCCTCCTTCCTTCCTCTTGACAGGAAATGACTTTCCTTCCCTTTGTTCCCACTTTCTCCGCTTACCGACTGGTTCTGGATCTCCTTGCCCCCGGGGGAGGAAGGATGGGGGTGGAGGGTCTGCTGGAAAAGTTGTCACACAACGCCCCCCAGTCCTCCAGGGTGAACTCCAGGGCAGTGGAAGCAGAGGGGAGGGTAGGCTGTCTTCTGGGGATGGAACATGACAGGGCTTTGAAAAGCCCCAGCTCCTTCCCATGGGCCCTGCAGCTGCTTGGCAGGGATAGGGTGGCCGTGGCTGCCCAGCTGTGAACATCTGGCCTCCATGCTGGACGTTTCTGAGAAAGCAGGCAGATCAATTCCCGGAGGAGTGGAGTAGGGGGTCAGAGCTGGTGGGAGGGAGGTGGAAGGGGGATCCTGAAGAACCACAGCCTGTGTCTCAGGAGACAAGCCTAGACTACAAGAAACTGGTCTGGATTGGGTCATTCTTGTGGTGGGGCAGGGAGGAGGTGATTTGGAGGACCTTGTGCCATCCAGGTAATCAAAGGTCCAAGGATGCTGGATAATGCTCTGATAAGAGTTCCAAGTCTGCCTTGGAGGGCCTGTGAAATGCTCTTGAAGCCTGGGACCTCATGTGACCTTGCTGTGATAGAGCCTCCTTACAGCTGAGGTTTGAGGCACCTAGAGATCTTAGCTCCATAAATGCCAATATTCTGGCATTAAAAGTCTCTGGTGCCCCCTGAAGATCATTTAGGAAAGGGATTCTATGATGGGGTATGGAGGTTGAGACAGGGTCTCACTTTGTAACCCAGGCTGGCTGTGAACTCCTGGTCCTCCCACCTCAGCCTTCTGAGTGCTGGGATTACACGTGCGTGTCACCACACCTGGCTTCAAGATAGATTCAATTTTTAAAATCTTGTGTGTGAATGTAGGTGTACACATACCAATGCACACATGTAGGGGTCAGAGGATGAGATCAGGTTGGTCTGTGCCTTCCACTTTGTTTGAGACAGGGTCTGTTTACCGCTGCATATGCTAGGCTAGCTGGCCCATGAGTTTCCGGGGAGTCTCTTGTCTCTGCACCTCATGTCACTGTAGGAATGCTGTGATTATAGGTGTGCTTCTGTGTCCAACTTTACATGGATTCTGGGGACCTGAACTCAGGTCCTTGTGCTTACATGGCAAGCACTTTATCCACAAATCCATCTTCATTCATTGTGTGTGTGTGTGTGTGTGTGTGTGTGTGTGTCCGTCTGTCTGGTGTTTGTATGCACATGTACAGAAGTGGGCATGCCTGTAGCATGCAAAGGCCAGAGGAGGACATCAGGTGCCTTCCTCTGCTGCTCTCTGCCTTACACCCTCAAACAGTCTTGCAATGTACCTGAAGCTCACCCTGTTTCTGCCAGGCTGGCTGGTCATAGGGCTTCTGCCATCTGCCTGTTTCCACTTCCCCAACATGGGTTACAGGCACACACAACCATACCCAGCTTTTATATGGGTGCCTGGAATTCAAATTCAGGTCTTCATGCTTACCCAGAGCCATCTCCTCAACCGCCCCCCCCCAAATAGATTCTTTAAAAAAAAAAGTTACATTTATTTTTATTTATTTTGAGACAGAGTCTTACTATGTAGCCCTGGCTAGCCTGGAACTCACTACGTAGACCAGGCTGAATTTGAATGCACAGAGATCTGCCTGACTCTGCCTCCTGAGTGCTGGGATTAAAGACATGCATCACCATGCCCACCCTATTTATTTTTTTTAAGTGCATGCATGCTGTGGAAGTAAGTTCTCTCCCTCTACCATGTGGATCTTGGGGATCAAACTCGGGTCACCAGGCTTGGTAGGGAGCAACTTTATCTGCTGAGCCCTAGATTCTTAAACTCGTAACAGAGTATAAAACGGAAGGCTATAGCAGTCACTGTAAACACACCTTCCAGACATCACTTCTGAAACAAGAAACAAAAAGGAAATTCTTTTAAGGAACTTTCAAAACTCTTTCCTAATATGACTTTTTTTTTTATTCCAAAGACATTTTTTTAAATCAGACTGAGCTACAGACATTTTAAACCAAATGTGGACGAAGTGAAGAATAATTTGGGAGCTTAGGATGTTTTATTTTAATTTAATTTTTTTACATTTATTGTGTGTGTATGAAGGAGGAAGAGAGGGAGGGAGAGAAAGAGGGAGGGAGGGAGGGAGGGAGGGAGAGAGAGAGAGAGAGAGAGAGAAAATGGGTATAGGCGTGTATGCCACAGTGCACACGTGGAAGTCAGAGGATAACCTTCAGGAACAGGTTCTGTCTAACATGTAGGTCCCAGGGATCAAACTCAGGTCATCAGGCTTGGCAGCAAGCACCTTTTCTATTATTATTATATTTTATTTATTTTTTTGATCTTATGTGTATGAGTGTATTGCCTGCATGTATGCGAGTGCACCCGTGTTGTGCAATGCCCTGGAGGTCAGAAGAGGGCTTTGGATTCCCATGGAACTGGAGTTAAGGATGGTTCGTAGCTGCCATGTGGGTGCTAGGAATCGAACCCGGGTCCTCTGCAAGAGCAGTCAGTGCTCTTAACCTCTAAGACATCTCTCCAGCCCTGGCAGCAAGCACCTTTACTTGCTGCGCCATCTTACCAGGCACATTATTCTCTGTCAGTCAGCAGGAGAGTCCCAGGAAGTTGGTTCACTTTGAGAGGCAGAGGGAGACCTGTGAGTGGCCATGCGGAATCCAAGGCCACTGTTAGGGTCCTTTCGAGCTGTCAACCCCCTTACTGCCCAGCCCCACTGTTTGAAACTCAACCGTACTTCTCCCCAGGCACCTGTGCCTAGGCTTCAGGGCCATATCAGGGTGGCCCAGACAGAAAGAGGGAGAGAGATAAACAGCATTTTTAGCTGTGGACACCATGGTTGGGTGCCAGGGAGAACTCCTGTGTGTGGCCAATTCACCTACTGTGACCCACCTCAGTCTTGGCTACAGAGGCCACTATCTGCAGGAATTGACTATTCTTTCCCAACATGAGATACCTCCTGTGTTCAGATCTGTGCTTTGATACCTGCACTGTGAACTGCTGTTCCACACATGACCCAGACAGCTAAAGGCAGGCAGTTATCTAGCTGAAGTTATCTAGCTGAAGGCAGGCAGACATGGATAGTGAGCCATCAGGTCCTGCGAGGAGGCTGTCATCACCCCCTGGAAGTAGACAGACTGCCTCAGGGTGAGAGCTAGGAGTCAGGGGAGGCTTTGTGGAAGAGGTGAGGTTTGAAGTGGATCTCTAAGGGAGAGTTTCAATTAACCCTGTAGCAAGAGGAAAAGCAGATGGTAGGAACCATCCAGCAGAGAGGTAAGGGAAGACAGGCCTAGTCCAGGAAGACTGAAGGCCAGGGTGGTTAAAAGAAGTTGAAGTTGCCGGGCGTGGTGGTGCACACCTTTAATCCCAGCATTTGGGAGGCAGAGGCAGGCAGATCTCTGTGAGTTCAAGGCCAGCCTGGTCTACATAGTGAGTTCCAGGACAGCTGGGGCTACAGGGAGACCCTGTCTCAAAAAGACGAAAAAAAAAAAAAAGAAGTTGAAGTTGAAGTAGTTTGGGGTTGGAGTAGTTCAGTGGTAGAGAACTTGCCTAGTAAGGGCAAGACCCTGAGTTTCATCCCCAATATGAGAGGGAGGGAGGGGGGGGGAGAGAGAGAGGAGAGAGGGAGAGAGAGAGAGAGAGAACAGGAATTTAAGACTTTATCCTTTGAGGTAATAGGGAGCCTTAGAAAGCTTTTGAGCAGAGGAAAACAATCATATTTATGCTCTGGAAAGATGGGGGTTAGTAGACGTCATAAGAGACCTGTCTAGCTCTGCACAACTGCTACTATTACACACACGTGCACACACACACACACACACACACACACACACACACACACACACTACACTGCCTGGTCCTGAAGCAAGGCCATGGCTTTGGAGTTGGGGCAGAGAGAAAGATTCTAGCAAGAGGAGGCTGAGTAAGATGCTAGCCTTTGGCTTTGGGGCTGGATGGGGGTGCAGAACAGAGTGGCTAAGCACATGACTCTGAGGCCAAATACCACCTCTGGTGCTTGCTGTGTGGCCCTGAACAAGTGATTTCACCTCTCTGAGTCTCCTCCCCTGTGAGATAGAGTGATTTCGGCTGTCATGAGGGTTTCCAAGGTACAGGGAGCATCGGGTGCTCAGGGCAGGATGGGTGCAGAACAGCAGACGTTCTTGTCTTATCTGTTCTCTGCCTCTGGGAGCCCAGCCTGCCACTCTGAGGTTCCTGTTCTCTTTTTCTCCAGCAGAGCTAGCCTGGGAGGAGCCCGTGGGCAGGTGTCAGGCCCAGTGTCTGGCATCCATCAGCTGTGTGGGTGGGCTCTGGAGGAGGTGTCCAGGAAAAGTGGTGGCTTGTGAGTTGCAGGACTGATCTTTGCTTTGTAGTTCAGACCATGTGGCCCTCCTGAAGGCCATCCGCTGTCCCTCCCATCTCCCTCTTTCCCTCCCTTCCCCTCTTCCCTTCTCACTCTGCATGCAGCCCAGACTGGCCTGGACTCACCACCCTCCTGCCTCATCCCCTTCTCTGTTGGAGCTGGGTGTTGGGCTGACCACCAGCACAGTGAAATTGTTACCCTTGTCTTATAGTAGGGAGGAGGTCCTGAGCAAGCATCTCTGTGAGCAGTGGGGTACCCTGCCACATCCTGAATCCTACTGTGTGTATCCCCAGCTGCAACTGATCATGGCATCCAAGCCTGAAAAGAGGGTTGCCTCGTCTGTTTTCATCACCCTGGCACCCCCACGCCGCGATGTAGCTGTGACTGAGGAAGTGCGCCCGGCAGCTTGTGAAGTCCAGCCTGCCCGACCCCGGGAGACCCCTGTTCCCACAAAGACCACTGGGGCTGGCTCGACCAGGAACCCCAGTCCCTGGACGCCTTCTGGAAGGACTACAGCCTCAGTCTCTACTGTCCCGCCCCAGCTCTCCAATGGAGGTAAGAGGGAAACTTTAAAGGGATCAGGACAGAGACAGCACCACGGAGGGGAGGAAAGGGCAGGCTCTGAGTCACTCATTTCAACACCTACCATGTGACAGGTTTACTGGAACCTACCTGCCTATGTGTGAGTTCTGGCTCCCCCACTTCTTGGTTGTATGATGTCGGCAGGTTATTTAACCCCTCTATGCCTCGATTTCTTAATCTAAAAAAAAAAAGGAAAACTTTGGGACTGGAGAGATGGTTCAGCCAGTAAGTATTGACTGCTCTTACAGAGGACCCAGGTTTGGTTCCCAGAACCCACATGGCAGCTTACAACTATCTGTAACTCCAATTCCAGGTGATCCAGCATGTGAGCCCTGTATGAAGACATCAGGCATGCACGTGGTACACTTACTTACATACGTGCAGGCAAAATACTTATTTTTATTTTATGTGCATGCAATGCTTCTGGAGGCCAGAAGAGGACATCAGCTCCCCTGGAACTGGAGTTACAGATGGCTGTTAACTGTTATGTGAGTGCTGGGAACCAAACCTGGGTCCTCTGCAAGAGCAGCTAGTGCTCTTAACAGCTAGCCATCTCTCCAGCCCTGTTATGTGATTTTCTTTCTTTTTTTCTTTCTTTTCTTTTCTTTTTTTGGACAGGGCCTATGATATAGCCCTGGCTGACCTGGAACTCTCTATGTAGACCAGGCTGGCTCAAACTCACAGAGATCCACATGTTTTTGCCTCTTGAATGCTGGGATTAAAGGCGTGCACTATGCCAAGCTCTGTGATTGTTTTTTTTTTGTTTGTTTGTTTGTTTGTTTGTTTGTTTTTGAGACAGGGTCTCCCTGTAGCCCCAGCTGTCCTGGAACTCACTATGTAGATCAGGCTGGCCTCGAACTCACAAAGATCTGCCTGCCTCTGCCTCCTGAGTGCTGGGATTAAAGGCGAGTGCCACCATGCCCAGATGTTCTGTTTTGTTTTTTGAGACAGTGCCTCCCAGCCCCAGCTGGTCCAGAATTCACAGAGATGTACCTGCCTCCTCCGCCTCTCTGTACTGGCATTAAAGGAGTGTACTACCACACTGCTATTTTTTTTTTTAAGTTACAATTATTTAGTGCTGTGTTTGTGTGTCATGGCTCACATGTGGAAGTCAGAGGACAATGCATGGGACTCATTGTGCCATGTGGGACCCAGAGATCAAACCTCAGGCAGTCAGACTTGGTGGCAAGTGCCTTTACCCACTGAGCTGAGCAAGTGATCTCAATCCCCACCCCTTACATTCTTGTTTACCTTCCCCACCCTGTTGTCTTGGAAACAACAGGCAGGACTAGGAGAAGACCCAGCTTTTTGCTACCTCTGAGCCCTGGATCCTGACTCAGGAGCTCACCCGGTGCTGGGTTCCCATACTCCATCAGCCCAGCAGTCATATCAGCGTCACCCTGGGGCTTGTTCCAGCAAGGCTGAGCCCCACCTGTAGCTAAGGTTGGCAGTTGAATTTGTGTTTCTCTTGCATTTCCAGGTAGTGCTGATGTTCTGACACAGGAGTTACTTGGTAATTTTAATTTTTTTGAAATGGAGTCTTGCAATATGACTCAGGCTGATCTCGAACTCCTGGACTCAGTGATTCTTCTGCCTAGCCTCCTATGTAGCTGGGACAGTCATGTGCCACCTCACCAGACTTTATAGTCTCTTCCTGTGTCCCCTCCCCTCCCTTCCCGTCCTCTCCTCCCTCTTCTCCTTTCCTCCCTCCTCTATTTTATCCTTCCTTTCCTGTTTTTTAAAAATATTTTATTTATTTATTCATTTTTTTGTTTTTTTTTAAATTTTATTTTATTTCTGGTCTTTTTGAGACAGAGTCTCCCTATAGCCCCAGCTATCCTAGAACTCACTATGTAGACCAGGCTGGCCTTGAACTCACAGAGATCCGCCTGCCTCTGCCTCCCAAGTGCTAGGCTTAAAGGTGCACGCCACCATACCCGGCTTTTATTTATTATTTTTATTTTATGTGTATGTGTGTATTGCCTGCATGTAGGTAAGTGCACCTGTGTTGTGCAATGCCCGAGGAGGACAGAAGAGGCTGTTGGATCCCCTGAAATTGGAGTTACAAACAGTTGTTAGCTGCCATGTGGGTGTTGGGATTCAAACCCGGGTCTTCTGCAAGAACAACCAGTGCTCTTAACCGCTGAGCCATCTCTCCAGCCCCTACTGATTTATTTAGAGACAGGGTCTCACTATGTAGCCCTGACCTGGAACTCACTATGTAGACCAGGCTGGCCTCAAACTCAAAAGATCCACCTGTCTCCACCTCCCAAGTGCTGAGGTTAAAGGTGTGCAGCACCATGCCTGGCCCATGGACAGAGGATATTCACTGGTACATTGCTGCTCCTAAGACTCCCCAATCCTGCCCATACCCCCTTGTTATCTCCTTGAGGGGAGCTGGTACCCTGTTGGCTGCAGTTTCACAGTAGTGATCATGACAGTAGTTAGTGATAGTGGTGGTGGATCATGGACAGAGGAAGGAGACAGGGCTGTGGCAATGGTGGCCATGCCTTCCCTTCCTCCTCCTACCCCCAGGAGCATGGAAGTCTATATCCAACAACCAGCTCTTCAGATCCAGGGCCTTGGTCCCTAGTCCCCTGTGTCCCTGCCTCCTCCCAGTCAGCTCAGCTTTGGAGAGTCCAGTCAAGCTGTGCTGCCTGTGCCAGTGTGTGTGTGACCTGTGTGTCTGTGTGTGTGGTCTTAGGAAACTTTTAGGCTAGAGATGTAGCTCAGTTGGTAAAATGTTTGCTTAGTATGCACCAAAAAAGGTTAGGAAAAAAAAAGGAACTTTCAAACCAACACGGAAGCAGGGAGAGCTCCAAGTCCCCACATCCAGTTTTACCAGTAGTCAAGATTTTATCTGTTTCAGCTGGACATGGTGGTGCACGCCTTTAATCCCAGCACTCAGGAGGCAGAGGCAGGAGGATCTCTGTGAGTTCAAGGCCAGCCTGGTCTACATAGTGAGTTCCAGGTCTCAAAAAGACCAACCCCCACAAAAAAAGATTTAATCTGTTCTTCCTTCATCTTCTGTTGATTTATTTTATGCATATGAGTGCTTTGCCTGAATGAATGCAGTGCCCGTGGAAGCCAGAAAAGGGAGACAGATCCGTTGGAACTGGAATTACAGGCAATTGTTTAGCTGTGATGTGGATGCTAGGAACTGAGCCACAGTCCTCTGAAAGAGCAGCCAGTGCTCTTAACCACTAAGCCACCTCTCCAGCCCCCTTTTAATTTCTTGCAACAGGGTCTCATGTACCCCAGGCTGGCACAAACTCCTTGAACTCCTGATCCTTCTACCCTACCACCCAACTGCTGGGATCATAGGTATGTACCATGTAGCTAGTTTTGAATTTAAGATACTTTTGCATCAGTGTCCAAGTGTTGGGACTCACATGTGTACCACACTATGCCCAGCTTTCTTTTTTAAAAAAATATTTTATTATTTTAATTTCATGTATATGAGTGTTATGCCTGCATGTAGGTAAGTTCATCCATGTCATGCAGTACCCACAGAGGACAGAAGAGGGCGTCTGATCCCCTGGAACTGGAGTTATGGACCATTGTTAGCTGCCATGTGGGTGCTGGGATTCAAACCCAAGTCTTCTGCAAGAACAGCCAGTGCACTTAACCGCTGAGCCAGCTTTCTTCTTTTTTTTTCTGTTACTGAGGATCCTTTGGCTCAAAAAAAAAAAAAATCCATTTTATGTGAATTCATCACATTTTCTTCATCCATTCCTCTGTTGTTGGATATCTAGGTTGGTTCCATAATTTCGTTATTGTGAGTAGTGTTGCAGTCAACACTGAGGGGCAAGTGTCTGTGGTGTGTTGACACGGAGTCCTTTGAAATGAGTGGTATAGCTCGGTCATATGGAAGTTCTATCGTTTTACAGTTTTTTTACATTTTGATTTATTTATTTTGTGTACATGAGGGTGTGTGGCCCACATGCCCTGATTTGCATGTGGAGGTCTGAGGACAGCTTGTCTCTCCTTCCACCCACCCATCCACGTCAGGGATTGCACTCAGGTCATCAGGCTTGGTGGCAAGTGCCTTTTCCCACTGAGCCATCCTACCGACCCTATAGTTAGTTTTTTTGAGAAACCTCCATACTGATTTCTCCAGTGGCTGGACTAGTTTGCATTCCCACCAGCAGTGTATAAGGGTTTCCTCATCATCACATGACTGCTGTTCCTGCGTGCCAGCCATGCGGCACTCAATGTGGAAAAATCGTCTTGTGTCCTCCCCACAGGAGCCATACAGTTTGGTGCTCACTTTCCATTGGAGCAATTTATGACACAAAGAGATGACCCTTGTCCAAGGACCCACACACAGCAAGCCAGTGGCTGCAGTGTTGGGTGGAACCAGGTTTGGGTAGTCCTAGACCTGAGCCTTTAGCCGTGACTGTTTGCCTTCCGGGTCAGTAGGTATCTCTCTGGGCAACCCCATCTCTCTTCTCTTTATAGGATGCTCTCTCCCACCTCCTTCCCTGAGTGAGGAGGACCTGGACCTCCCCCCACCTCCTCCACCACCCCCTTCTGCCTTCCTGCCTCTCCTGGAAGAGGAACCCCCTGTCTCAACAGGGGCATCACTCATTTCTGACTTGGAACAGCTGCACCTGCCGCTGCCACCCCCACCGCCCCCACCACAGGTATTGTCAATGCCCCCAAACCTCCTGGGCCCTGTAGTGGTGGTGGGGAGCTGGGTTTCTCCAGGATTACCAAGATGGAGGTGGTTTGGTCTCTTCTGCCTGAGGGCAGTTGGTCCTCAAAGCTCTTCCAAGTCCTAAGCTGGTAAAAATTCTTTGGGATTTTCAAGGTCCCTGGAAAGAGCTGCCACCCCCACTTTGTTCCTCAGTTACCCACTCTGCACCGAAGAAGACATGCCCTGGTTCTGACCCAAATCTCCACACTGCCAGTTCAATCCTCTGCCTTTCATAGAGTGTGTTGTCAACATGAGAGGGGTCCTGGGCCAAGAGCTGAGTCCCCTTCAACCCGGGGAGCCCTCAGCAGTAGGAGTCAAGCTGGGCTTACCGGTGCAGGCTCATAAGCCTAACTACTCAGGAGGCTGAGGCAAGACTTGCCTGGGCTACAGAGTGAGCTCAAGGCCAGCCCGGGCAACTTAGTGAAGCCCTGTCTCAAACCAAAAAGTAGAAAGAAGGCTAGAGATGTATCTGAGAGATAGAGTGCTTGTTCTTTGGTGGAGGGACCCCTACGCAGAAAGCATGGTGGTTCTGGCTCTTGTTGCCACAGTAACCTTCCCACTGAGCTATTGAGGCAGGACACTTGCTTCTCCAGCCCTGATTTCTTCCTCCGTACAATGGATCTAATTGTCCCTGGAGGCAGTCAGGTGAAGAGTGGAGCTGGGAGCGTCTGGTGGGGTCCCTATTCAATGCCTTAGCTTCTGTTTCCACCCTCTGTGTTCTCACAGGCTCTGTCAAAGGGATCTTCTGTCCAACCTCAGCCCAGTCACTTCAGACCCTCCGAAGAGGAGCTACCTCCTCCTCCAGAAGAGCCTGTCACCTTCCCTGAGAGAGAGGTATCAACAGGTATGACCACAGAGCTGGGTTCTGGGCCTCGTGGGGCCAGCATGATGGGAGCAGGGTTCCACTACTGTACCTACCTATGCTCGTGGGAATTATGTGTCTGTGAGTGTGTCTGCATGTGGGTATGTGCACATGAGTGTGTGTGCCCAAGGAGGCCAGAAGTGACGGATCCCTTGGAGCTGTGAATTACAGGTGTCGTAAACCATGTGATATGGATGCTGGGAACTGAACTCGGGTCCTCTGCAAGAGCAGAATGCACTCTTAGCTGCTTAGCCATCTCTCTAGCCCTCCATGTGCTTGAAAACTTATTTTTATTTTATGTGTGAGTGTTATGCCTGCATGTGTGTAAGTGGACCCATGTTATGCAGTGCTCAAAGAGAGAAGAGGGCATCGGATCCCTGGAACTGGAGTTACAGATGGTTGTTTGCTGCCATGTGGGTGCTTGGATTCGAACCCAGGTCCTCTGCAAGAATAGCCAATGCTCTTAACTGCTGAGCCATCTTTCCAGCTCCCCCGTGTGCTTTTCTTTTCTTTCTTTTTTTTTTTTGGTTTTTTTGAGACAGGGCCTCCCTGTAGCCCCAGCTGGCCTGGATTTGCTATGGAGACCACGCTGGCCTCGAACTCCCAGAGATCTGCTTGCCTCTGCCTCCCAAGTGCTAGGATTAAAGGCGTGCACCACCACGCCCAGCTCCATGTGCTTTTCTTACAACTAAAATCCTTTTACATATTAACCCAGATGCTATGATACATAAAAATGCTCTAGATTTTTTCTACTGCCTGCTCATTTGTTGATGTTGCTTTAATGCCTTAGGCATTAAACCCAAAGGCCTTGAGCTCAGGCTCTACATCTACCACAGAGCCACATACACCTCTTGGAATTCTTTTCTTTTGAGACAGGGTCTCATATAGTCCAGGGTGGCCAAGGATGACCTCCAACTCCTGATCCTCCTGCCTCCACCTCCTGAGTGCTAATATTATAAGTGTGTATCACTATGCCTGGTTTATGTAGTGCTAGGGATGGAACCCAGGGCTTTATACATGGTAGGATATACTTAACCAGTGGAGCTATATCCCTAGCCACTGTTCATTCATTCATTCATTCATTCATTCATTCATTCATTTTGAAACAAGGTCTCACTCTGGCCTGAACTTTAGAGTCTCGGGTTTCAGCCTCCTCAGTGTTGGGAATATAGGTATGACCCAATTAAAATTCTATTTCATGCTGGGTGTGGTGGCACACACCTTTAATCCCAGCACTCGGAAGGCAGAGGCAGGCGGATCTCTGTGAGTTCAAGGCCAGCCTGGTAATACATTTTTATTTAAAAATAATAAATTTTTTAAAAGTTCAAGATCATCCTCAGCTACATGGTGAGTTGGAGGCCAGCCTAGGGGTACAGTTTCTAATTTTGAATTTTGAACTTTTTTTTTTTTTTTTTTTTTTGTTCTTTTTGAGACAGGGTCGCCCTGTAGCCCCAGCTGCCCTGGATTTGCTATGGAGACCAGGCTGGCCTCGAACTCAGCCACCACACCTGGCCATTTTTTAAAAAAAATGTTTATTTTTATTTTACGTGTATGCGTGTATTGCCTGCATGTAGGTAAGTGCACCCATGTTGTGCAATGCCCGCAGAGGACAGAAGAGGCTGTCAGATCCCCTGGGACTGGAGTTAAGGACAGTTGTTAGCTGCCATGTGTGTGCTGGGATTCAAACCTGGGTCTTCTGCAAGAACAGCCAGTGTTCTTAACTGCTGAGCCATCTCTCCAGCCCCTAGATTTGTGAACTTTAGGGTTAGGGATTCAGCTGTTCTGTGCTGCGGCTTCCCCTAGTGCTGAGGTGGAGCCAGTTCCCCATTAGCACACGTGGTGACCCCTTGTTTTCTGGCTGTGTAGCCCTCCCATAGCCGTGGCGGGTTGGCACAGCCGCCTCCTGGTGGTGTTATAGGTGGTTTCTTGCTCTAACCATGCTGAGATGAGTCATCTTCCACATGGATCATTTCTCAGTGTGCAGATTTTTCTGAGACAAATTCTCAGAAGAGGAAGGACTGTGGTCAAAAGGTTGGTATGTATGTAAGTCTGGCATTTTTACCAAATCACCTTCCTTAGTCATCCCAGTCTATGAGTGCCCACCAACAGTGTTAAGCCTGTTTTTTCAGAAACCTCTAGTGGACTGTGTCACTTGAGTTAGCTGTGAAGACCTTACTTAGCCCTGCCCAGCACTGTGGAGACAGTTGAGACTGTGGTAGAGCCCTCAGAGGCCACATAGGGAGACGCAGGAGCAAATGGTTTTGTTTGTCTTTTGTCTTTTGACTTTAGATTTTTTCAGCCATAAAAATAGATTTTTTTTTTTTTTTGAGATAGGATCTTCATGTATGGCCCTGACTGACATCAAGCTCATAACAACCTTTCTGCCTCAGCCTCTCAAGTGTTGGGATTATAAGCATACACCATCATGCCCAACATCAGAATCTTGTAGTATTCTTTTCTTTAAGATTTTTTTTATTTAATTTTTTTTGTGTGTATGAGCATTTTTGCCTGCATGTACGAAAGTGCACCTGTGTCATGCAATGCAGTGCTCGCAGAGGCCAGAAGGGGGCATCAGATCCCCCTGGAACTGGAGTTATGGGCTGTTATTCTGCCATGTGGGTGCTGGGAATTGATCCCCAGTCCTCTGGAAGAGCAGCCAGTGCTCTTAACCACTGACCCATCTCTCTAGTCCCCTGCTCTTTTGTTGAGACAAGGTGTCTTTGTAGCCTCAACTGACCTGGAACTCACTATGTAGAGCAGGCTGGTCTTGATCTCACAGAAATCTACCTGCTCCACCTCCCGAGTACTGGAATTAAAGGCATGTACCACCATGTGGGCCCAGCATCTTTTTTTTTTTTTTTTCGGTCTTTTTGAGACAGGGTCTCCCTGTAGCCCCAGCTGGCCTGGAATTCACTATGTAGACCAGGCTGGCCTTGAACTCACAGAGATCCGCCTGCTTCTGCCTCCCAAGTGCTGGGATTAAAGGTGTGCACCACTCCCAGCCTTTTTTTTTTAAGGCTCATTTTTATTATTTTGTGTGTGTGTGTGTGTGTGTGTGTGTGTGAATGCAGGTGATGGAGGAGGCCAGAAGAGGGTGTCAGATCCGCTGGAGGTGGGTGCTGGGAACTGAACCTGGGTCCTCTGCAAGAGCAGCAAGTGCACCTCACCACCGAGCCTTCTCTCCAGCTTCTTTCATAGAATTCTTGTGACTTCATTTTTTACATCTAGATCTTGATGACTCAGGATTATTTAGATGTCAGTGTCATCACAACCCTCTCTGCTCTCAGAAAGGACAAGCCAGGTACAACAATGTTGCATCCTTGCTTTTAGCTTTCCAAAGGCCGTTCTTCTTTACTTCCAGAGCTCACCATGACCCTTTGAATTTGTTAGATGAGGAAGCCTGGCCTTTGAGGCTGGGCCCCGGGCACTCTGAGCATTTTCTGGGTGGTGACTGGGGACAGTCATCTTGGCCTGGACAGGTGACAGCCTGTGTCTCCTCTACCCCAGATGTGTGTGGCTTCTGTCACAAGCCTGTGTCCCCTCGAGAGCTGGCTGTGGAGGCCATGAAGAGGCAGTACCATGCTCAGTGCTTCACCTGCCGTATGTGCCGCCGCCAGCTGGCAGGGCAAAGCTTCTACCAGAAGGATGGGCGCCCCCTCTGTGAACCCTGCTACCAGGTACTCCCCTGCAGCAAGCCCCCAGGTGCCAAACACTTAGCTGGGCAGTTGGGTGGCATTATGTTATTTCATTCCTCATAGACCTCCTGAAGGTGGGCATCACGAATCTATTTCACAGATGAAGAAGCTGAGGTTCAGCAAGGAGAAATAACTCAGTCAATGGGGATTAGTTTCCTGTGTGCTATCATGTGTTCATCAGCTTTCCAGCACTATAACCAAATACCTGAGATAATTCATTTTTAAGGAGGAAAGGGTTATGTCAGACACGATGACAAACACGTGTAAATCCCAGCATTTGGAGGTAGAGACAGGAGGATCAAAGCTAGCCTAGGCTGTGGGAGACCATGTCTCAAAAAAAAAAAGGAAAGGAAAAGAAAAGGAAGGTTTATTTTGAGTCAGTTTTGAGGTTCCAATACATAGTCAATTGGCCTTGCTGCTTTGAACCTATGGTGAGGCAGCATACACCTGTAATCTGAGCACTTAGGGGAGTGGATGGTAGAGATAGGAAGATCACAGGTTCAAAGCCATCCTGAGCTACATAGTGATTACAAGACCAGCCTGGGCTACATGAAACCTGTCTCAAAACCAACCAAAGGGTGCTCTTGCAGAGGACTTGGGTTCAGTTCCCAGCACCCACATGGTAGCTAACAATCACCTGTTAACCCCATTCCAGAGGACCTAATGCCCTCTTCCAACCTCTGAAGGTGCTTACACACATGTGGTGCGCATACGGACAAGTAGGCATGCACACACACACACACACACACACACAAACACACGCACACACATACACACAAAAAGTTTGAAGAATTTCTTAAGAGGGTAGGCCTCAGGCTGGGGTTGTAGTTCAGTGGTACAGCACTTGCCTGGCATGCACAAGGCCCTGAATTCAATCTCTGATACTGCAAAAAGAAAAAAGAAACAAGGAAGGAGGGAGGGAGGGAGGGAAGGAGGGAGGGGGGAAAGAAAAAGATGAGAATGGCAAAGAGGGTAGACCTCGTGCCACAGTAGAATTCTTTTAAAAAGGAATGCACATGGGATTGAGAAGATGGCTCAGCAGTTAAGAGCACTGGCTGCTTTTGCAGAGGACCTAGGTTCGATTCCCAGCACCCACATGGCAGCTAACAATTGTCCATAACTGCAGTTCCAGGGAATCCTGCACCATCTACTGACCTCTGTGGGCATTGCATGACATGGGTACACTTAACATACATGCAGGTAATACACATAAAAATAAAATTTTAAAAAGAACACTTGTCCTGGGCATGGTGGTGCACGCCTGTAGTCCCAGAACTTGGGAAGCAGAGGTAGGTGGATCTCTGTGAGTTGGAGGCCAGCCTGGTCTACATAGTGAGCTCCAAGCCAGCTTGGGCTACAGGGAGACCGTGTCTCAAAAAGACGAATAAATAAATAAATACATACATACATACATACATACATACATAAAAAAAACACTTGCTCTACAAGTATGATGACCTGAGTTCAAATCCCAAGCATCCATGTAAAAAGCTGAGTGTGGATGCACAATGGCTCCAGCATTGGGGGGATGAAAACAGGAGGATCCCCCAGGAGCTTGCTGACAGGGACCCTAGCAGAAACGGTGAACTTTGGTTCAGTGATAGTGTCTGCATGTGGGTATGTGCATGTGAGTGCAGGTGCCAGGGGAGGCCAGAGGCATTAGATCTTCTGGAGCTCGGGTTACAGGTAGTTGTGAACTGACATGGGTGCTGGAAATCCAACTTGGATCCTCTGCAAGACCAATAAGCTCTCTCAACCTCTGAACCATCTTTCCAGCCCTTATTTTTATTTATGAGTGTGTGTCTGTGTAAGTAAATGTCACATTCATGCAGTGCCTGAGAAGGCCAGTAGAGGGCATCAGATCTCCCTGGAGCTGGAGCTACAGGTAGTTGTGAGCCACCTGATGCGGGTGCTGGAAACTGAAACCAAGTCTTCTAGACGAGCAGTATGTGCTCTTAAACCACTGAGCGATCTCTCCAGCCCCCTCCAATGGTTTTTAAAAGTGGATCATGTAATCTCTTTCTAAGCTTCCAGGTGCTCAAATATATAATGTAAGGGATTATATCTCTATAAAAGCACCTCAGTTCTCCTGCAGTTCCTTCTCTTGGCCCTGGGGCTTAAGGGAGTGTTCCCCTGTGAGCTGGGGTGGACCCTGCCTGAAGCACAATGCAGACTCAGAGTGTGGGAAGGCTTCACAGCAGTTCCCTTGCTGCACCCAAGGGTTCAATGCCAAACTCAACATTTTGTGAGTGATGGTTCCAGGTTGTGCTGTCAGTCTGGGCTGGCTGCATACCTTGCCTTCATGTTTGGCCTAGGGATCCTGTGGGTAGTTGGCTCAGGGTGGACATGTCCGTGGATTGGTGCTGAAGTAATGGCTCTCTGCCCCAGGACACTCTGGAGAGGTGTGGCACGTGTGGTGACGTGGTCCGAGACCACATCATTCGAGCCCTGGGAAAGGCCTTCCACCCACCATGTTTCACATGTGTGGTCTGTGCCCGGTGCATCGGGGATGAGAGCTTTGCCCTGGACAACCAGGACCAGGTCTACTGCCTGGCTGACTTCTACAGGTAGGAGAGGAGGTCGGGCATCAACGAGGTGAAGAGGGGGAGGACAGGGTGGGACTCTGGCCAGGCTAGATGGCTGGGGACTACGCTGGTGTTTCCCACAGCAAGGAACCATCTTCTTACAACTCTCCCCACATATTTCATGAAGCATCTACTGGCAGCAAATGCCTTTGATCCTTGCACTACATCAGTCTCACCATCTGTGTTGGTCCATTCAATCCTCCAGTCCTCGAACCTACCCTGGCAGGGGAGTACTACAAAAGGGTGCATTTTCCTGGAAGAGGAATGGAGGCACACAGCATCCAAGGCAGATGGAGATGTAGCTCAATAGGTAGTTTGCCTGCATAACATGCACAAAACTCTGGCTTCCATTAGTAGTCCTGCATAAACCAAGCATGGTAATACATGCCTGTAATCCGAGCACTTGGGAGGTGGAAGCAGGAGGATCAGGAGTTCAAGGTCATCCTTGACTATATAGTGAGTTCAGGGCCAGCTTGGGCTACATGAAACTTTGTCTCAAAAAAAAATAAATAAATATAGGGGTTGGAGAGATGGCTCAGCAGATAAGAACACTGACTGTTCTTGCAGAAGACCCGGGTTACCCGCATGGCAGCTAACATGTCTGTAACTCCAGTTCCAGGGGATCTGACAGCCTCTTCTGTCCCCTGCAGGCATTGCAGGACACGGGTGCACTTACCTACATGCAGGCAATACACACACATAAAACAAAAATAAATAAAATATTTAAAAAATATATATAAAAAGAACTTGCCTGGGGGGGGTCTTGATTGCAGGCCCTAAGCTATGTTGCCTCCCCTGGGAACTGGAGGGAACAGTTGGTCGTCCTCACTCTCCTGTTTGAAGAGACTGGGCATCGTGGGTCATGCCTGTAGTCCCATTATTCAGTAGGCAGAGGCAGGAGGATTGCTGTAGAATGTTTGAGGCCAGCCTGGGTTACAAGTGAATTCTACCTGAGCTGCAGAGTGCGACCCTGCCTCAAAAAATAAGCAAACAGGACTGCAAATGTCCTGGCAGGTAAAATAACTTGCTACCAAGCCTGATGACTTGAGTTCAATCCATGGAGCCCACATGGTGGAAGAAGAAAACTGATTCCTGCAAATTGTCCTCTGACCTCTACACACACACACACACACACACACACACACACACCAATAAATATAGTGAAAACTTGAAAATAAGCAAACAACAAAATGTACAAGACAGTGGATAGGCCCTGGGCCACCAGCTCTCTTTATTTCCAACATTTCCCAGTCACTTCCTGGCCTCAGGCTAACTGCACTCTGGGAAAGAGATCAAATTGCACAGATCCCTCCTCCGACCCTGCCAGGAAGGGTAGACATCTGTGGATTTAGCTACAGATTCTGTCACCTAGCAACCATGGGTCTAGAGGAGCCTGGGGAGGTGAACTGCCACTTAGTGTGCAAACAGCTTCCAAGCGTGGGCTCCCTTCCCTCTAGGAAATTTGCCCCGGTGTGCAGCATCTGTGAGAATCCCATCATCCCTCGGGATGGGAAGGATGCCTTCAAAATTGAGTGCATGGGAAGAAACTTCCATGAGAACTGTTACCGTTGCGAGGTGAGTGTCGGAAGCTTCAGTGGTGGAAAAGCACTCCAGATGGCAATGGTCAGGCTGGGGCCCCTCTCTGTCTCTCTGTCTCTGTCTCTCTGTCTGTCTCTCTGTCTCTGCCCAGGCAGAGGCAGGGAAGGATAGACATAACACACACAGCTCAGCATCAGATTCCATTGTGTTCACAATAGAAAACAAACTCACATTACTTTGTACAGGAAGAGACTATTGGCTCCTGGTGATGACACCATTAGTAGCACATGATGGCCCTGGGGCCATCTCAATAGCTCCTGGTTCTGCCTGCCTTTTCTCTACTGAAAGCTGCCATGTTCTGTGAGCATCCACAGTGCATGGGCACAGGTGGTCCAGGTTCACCACCTTGGACCTACTGAGGGTGGGGCATACAGTTCCAAGAAAGTTTCTGGTTGGCCTCGCATGGGTCATGTACCTCTTCTGGGCCTATCATAAGTGCTGGGAAAGCAGGCATAAATGGGCTTTAAGGCCTGGTGAGATGTCTCAGGGGTAAAAGCACTTGCTGCCAACTCCAAAGACCTGAGTTCGAGGGATCCACATGGTGGAAGGAGAAAACTGACTTTCGGAAAGTTTTCCTCCAACTTTGAAATGTGCTGCTTCTGTGGCAGGTACAACACACACACACACACACACACACACACACGCACGCACGCACGCACGCACGCACGCACGCACACCCGTCCCCCGGGAATAAATAAAATGTAATAAAGCTGTAATGGGCTTTAAAAGAAGAAGGCAGAGATGGAGCCTAGCCCGGATCTGTAGAAGAAAAGCATTCTTGTAGCAGGGAGTGGGACCCATGCCTCAGTCCCACCATCCAGGAAGCTGAAGCTGGAAAACCCGGAAAACCCAGAGTTGGAGGCCATCTTGAAATACACAGTGAGACTCTATCTGAGGGTGGGAGGGAAAAGAGGAAGGTATTCTTGTAGAGGAGGGCAAATATTTGCCAGTTACATAGCGGGGAAAGGAAGTCCAGACAGAGGAATAGGCCCATGACAACCCAGCACAGAGGCCAGGGAGATGGCTCAGTAAAGTGCTCGCCTTGCAAGCATGAGGACCTGGGTTCTGATCCCCACCACCCATCTTCAAAACCACGTGTTTGAGACTGGTGAGATGGCTCAGTGGCTTAAAGGCATTTGTCACCAAGCTCAAGGACCTTAGTTGAATCCCTGGGATCCACTGGGTGGAAGGTGAGAACTGACTCCTCAAAGTTGTCCTGACTTCCACACAGGCTCGAAAGGACACACACACACACACACACACACACACACACACACACACACAGAGATAGAACATGCACACACAAAATAAATGAAGAAAAAAAAAAAAAGCTGAGTCCAGTGGCTCATGGCTGTGACTCCAGGGATACTGACAGGCATAGACATGGACCCCTGAAGCCCTCTGGCCAGCTAGCCTAGTCTACTTGGTGAAGTTCAGGCCAGGCACAAGGAATGACATTTGAAGTCATCCTCTGACCTCTACAGGCACATATGTACACACATACCCACACACAGGAGTGTATACAAGCATGTAGACACATACGTAAGGAAGAGAGGGAAGGAAGGGGACAAGAGGAGGGAGAGGAGGGAGAGGGAGGGAGGGAGGGAGAGACCACAGCAGGAGCAAGCTTGAAGACTCACGAGGAAATGGAAGTCTGTAGGTATGTCTGGAGTGTGGAAGACCCAGGGCATGTTGAGTGATGGAGCCAAGGAGGGAGGGATCTGGTGGGCACTCCCTCTGTAGGGAGGTGCTAGACTGAGGTGGGAGGCTGCCTAGAAACTGGCACCCAAGTCCCAGAAGGAAGTACCAGAGAGTGGACCCACAGGGCCTTGTGACCAGAAAGGGCAGCCATGGCCACCGCCTCTTTAAATTATTGTTATTATTGGTCTTTTTGAAACAGGATCTCCCTGTAGCCCTAGCTGGCCTGGAACTTACTATGTAGGCCAGGGTGGCCTGCAACTCACAGAGATCCACCTGCATCTGCCTCCCAAGTGCTGGAACTACAGGCGTGGGCCACCACAACCAGCTTAAATATTTTATTATTTTTATTATTTTATGAGTGTATTTCCTGCATGTATGTAAGTGCACCTATGTCATGAAATGCCCGAGAAAGTCAGAAGGTGGATTCTCTGGAACTGGAGTTACAGATGGTTGTTAGCTGCCATATGGGTGCTGGGAATTGAACCTGGGTCTTCAAGAGCAGCAGGTGCTCTTAACTGCTGAGCCATCTCTCCAGCCCCACCAACCACATGTTTAAAGACCTCCTGACACCATCTTGAAGTTCTTTTTGAGACAAGGTCTCCCTGTAACCCCAGCTGGCCTGGAACTTGCTATGTAGACGAGGCTGGCCTCGAATTCTCTAAGAGCTGCCTGCCTCTGCCTCCCAAGTGCAGGCATTAGAGGCATGTGCCACCATGCTGAGCCATCTTGAAGTTCTTAATCTTTGATCTTGGAGCCCTGTTCTTTCCATCTGCTTGGATCCTACAGGTGATACAGGCACATATGTACACAGGTGTGCACTGACATACCAGGTTTGCACCCATACAACAGGACCTTGGCAGGGCTCCAATATCCCCTCCACCCCTTCCCCCCACTACTGGCCCCACAGCACTAAGCCTTCTGTCTTCTCTGGTGCTGAGGTCAAAGGTGACAGTTTTTTTTTTTTAATTTATTTTTATTTTATGTGTATGAGTGTATTGCCTGCATGTATGTGAGTGCACCCGTGTTGTGCAATGCCTGCGGTGGTCAGAAGAGGGCTTTGGATTCCCCTGGAACTGGTGTGGGTGCTGGGAATCGAACCCGGATCCTCTGCAAGAGCAGTCAGTGCTCTTAACCGCTGAGCCATCTCTCCAGCCCCGAGGTGACAGTTTTTATGGGTGTCACCTATATGGAGAGCCCCAGGGCAAGTCTCCCAATCAACCCATGGGTAATTCTAAACATTTATTCACTTGTTCACTTGTATTTATTTATTTAAACAGATGTGTGGAGCCAAGGGGCTGTATTCGCTGAGGGTGTTGGGAGCTGGGAAGAGATGATAAATTGCCTCATACCAAAGGTTGTCTTTGGTTAGAGTTCAAGGTCCAGTCGATAAGTACATTTTAAAAGACCAGTGAGGAAGATCAAGGGCTGTTACCCCGCACCAGAACCCTAAATAGGTTCACAGGTGACTGGCATTCTTTTTTTATTTTTTGTCTTTTTGAGACGGGCTCCCTGTAGCCCCAGCTGATCTGGAACTTGCTATGTAGACCAGGCTGGCCTGGAACTCACAGAGATCCGCCTGCCTCTGCCTCCCAAGTGCTGGGATTAAAGGCATGAACCACCACGCCCTGAGGAAAATACCCAAGGTTGACCTCTAACCACCATAGGCACCTGCACACACACAGGTACACACACAAAGATGTGCAAAACCTGATGTGTCAGTGCACACCTGTAATCCTAGGTGGAAGCACGGAAATAAGAAATTCAAGGTCTTCCTTGGTTACATATCAAGATCAAGGTCAAGGCCAACCTTGGGAAAAGAGACCTTGTCTCAAAAAAAAAAAAAAAAGGGCAACTGAGGTTCAGAATAATGGTGCATATCTGGGTGAGTCTGGCAGCCTTCTGCCAAACCAGAAGTCCTTTACAGATCCTGTGAGGCTGGGCTGTAGTTAATTCTAATGTGGGAGCAGTCACATGTTCCTGTGGAACTTTAGGTGTGTCACTTGATGTCACAATGCCAGACAAGGGACCATTGTCAATGACCTAGATACCTGGATTTCTTCAGCAGTGGATTTCCACTTGAGAGCAGGGTGTAATTGCAGAGAACAACCACACGAGGGCACTCCACCCCACTGGTCACCTTGAAGCACATTTTGCAGCCTTTTGTCCCTGCTGTATAACCTGTGTCCCTGTGGGAAAGAGATCCTTTGATTGACACCCTCAAAAGGTACCAGGTGATCCTTGGACCAAGTCTCTGAATGTTTTTCTACTGTGTGTCCAAAGTGGGGCCCAGAAAAGCTGTGGGCATAATGGTAGAGTTGGCAAAGTTTGGGTCCCAAATCCTCTTCTTTCTTCTGAAATCTTTTAGCAGTTTGAAAAATTAGAAATAGGGGGCTGGAGAGATGGCTCAGCAGTTAAGAATGCTTGCTGCTCTTCCAGAGGATCCAAGTTCGGGTCTCAGCCCCACCATCACAACCACCTGTAATTGTAGCTCCAGGGAGAGCTGACTCCTTTCATTTTTAAGGTCACCTGCACTCATGTGCACCCCCACACAGACATATACATACACATAATTAAAAATAACAAAAACGGGGCTGGAGAGATGGCTCAGTGGTTAAGAGCACTGGCTGTTCTTGCAGAGGATCTGGGTTTGAGTCACAGCACCCACATGATGACTAACAACCATCTGTAACTCCAGTTCCAGACGATCTGACACCCTCTTCTGTCCTCCTTGGGCACTGCACGACATGGGTGCAGGCATAACACTCATACACATAAAAAATATAAATAAGAATAAATAATAGGGGCTGGAGAGATGACTCAATGGTTAAAAGCACTGGCTGCTCTTGTAAAGTACCCCAGGTTCAGTTCTCAGCACCCACATGGCAGCTCACAACCATCTACAATTACAATTCTAGGGGATCCGATGCCCTCTTCTGACTTCTGAGGGCATTGCATGTATATGGTTGCACTCACATATATGCATGCAAACCATACATACACATAAAAATAAACTAAACTAAAAAATAAATAAAAATTGGAAAAATATTA